GCCGTCGAATATGTAAGAGCTAGACAATGGGGGATATCGAGCGACATGAAGGCCCCGCGCCACGTTGGGCACGTGTGAAGGCGAGGAGAAAATATTGAGATGATTGAGAAGTCGCGATTTTGTCTACGCAAAGGTTCGATCGGAAGTCACGGCCCGCTCTCGACTGAGGGCCGCGCAATGGCGTCAGCGCCGCCGCATCCCCCCTAGTCCAGTCGCGGGCGCGAGTCGGCCGACGTCCCTGCTTGCTCTTCAGCCGCGTGTCGCCGGTGCAGTCTGAGCATATCGGCGGTGAAATCTATGTTCAGGGTGTCTTCCCAGGCGACGCAGACTCCGCTGCACCGCGCGCATGCGAAGACGTCGCCGTGAGGTTTCAATCGCTGCGCCAACATGGCCCACGCGGAGGTCGTTGCGCGCAAATGCATCAATTCGGGGAACGGAAATGATCTCACCGTGGCCACGCACCCTTCCAGATAGTGGCCGATGCCGTCGACGTCGCCATCGTCCATCCCGCAAAGGAAACAGCGATCGTGAACAGGGCTGGGGGCTGTCACCGAGGCAAGTTCTGCGTTGGCAGGCTGAAACCAGCAAGGCACAACAGCGAGGACTCCGGGCAGTCCGGCACCGTGCGGGCCACGCGAGGCCCTGGGCCCGCTCGAACTGAAAGGTTTCACGAGGATGAACGTTTTGTCTTGGCGAATCTGTTGATCCAGTGCGAAAACACGCGCTAATGCCCGTCTCCGCAAGGAAGGGAAGCATGCCATAATAGAATCGAATGCTTCATTTGAGATCTTCGATACCATCAGCGCGAAAGTCTCGATGTCAGCGGCGTCGTCTCTTTCCGGAGACGATGAAGGTGTTCGCGCTGCAGCCGCGCGCGCAGCCCGCGAGGACAGTCGAAGCTTCCTGCGCGCCGGCGTCAGCGAGCGGGCGCCAGAGTACGCGCGCCGCTGGCGAGCCCTCCCGCCAGGCGTCGGGACGCCAACCTCAGGGGACTGCGAGCTCAGAAATGGAGAACTGGCAGCGCGCTGGTCGTCGGTGGCCATGGCGCCGAGGCACGTCAGAGAGATCACAGGACAGCAATGCTGATCCACAATCAGGGAAAGAGCGGGGAAGTCAAAGCAGGCCGACAATGCCGAGCCACGTTTGACAAAATCCTGAGCCGATGAAGCGAACGGCCGTGCTGATTTTTCCCCCCGCGCATCGCCGAAACGCGAGCTGGGGAAAAATCATATTCCATGCTACTCCCGAGCGGACTTTGCGCGCGTCGCCTGTTGGGTAGCGCAACTTGCGTCGGCATTTACTCTTTGCAATGATGGCATGGGATATATGATATCTCTGGGTGCCCCTCTCCGCTTCGGCTGTTGTTGATACACATAACAATTTCTTTTTTTTGGCTACGCAAGCGTCGCATCCACGCACTCCTTCATGCGAGGGCATCGCTACTTCTGCGGAAGTTGAGAGCACGCGGCTGTCAGCGTGGCTCCCGCAGAGCCCACGCGCGCCATTTTCATCCGCTGCCAGTTGGCATTCGGCAATGGCAACGGCACCTCAAGAGAACGGCGCACAGTCGCAACGGCAACGCCAGTGCGCGACGTCCACTGACATCTGGCGAAAGGCGCGATCGAAATTGGCCGCGGTGCTCAGGCAATAAGGCATGCGCGCCGCCACGACTGGCCGCGGCCAGCCGCCCAGAGGGTCTATCTCACGGGTGTCTTCCGACGCCATTGCCCGCAACTCTCGGGACCTCGTGCGTTGAATGGCCATGAGCTCCTCGATCTCTGGGATCACCGGCACGTCGTCCACAAATGGCTGGTCGCCATTGTCCGGATGAAGGCAGACCACATACATCGCGGCCACGCGGGCGCCGTAGTAATGTTCCAACATCCACCTGTAGATGTTAAGCTGCACCCGGTAATGATTTCCCTGGCAGTCTGACAATCGGCTTAATGGAAACTTCATATTCCCCCATGGGTTCGTGAACTTCGAACGTAAATTCTTCGCCCGCTTCCAATCGTATATGTACAGGCTGCCCGCAGAGTCTCGAGCCACGAAGTCGATTGACCTAGCGAGCCCCTCGTGCTCGGCGAAGATGGCCCACTCGGTGCGGAAAGCCACCAGACCTTTCAGCGCGCCCAAGAATTTCAAGAACAACTGGAACTCGACGGCATCGCGGGGCACCGGAACGCGGTTGAGGTGGGCCTCGAACGTCCAGTGCATCCAGGTGCCCCGCCTAGCCGCCTCTTCTTTGTTCAGGCGCCATTTCTCCACGATCTCGTGATCCGAGAGAGATAGACTTTCCAGATGGTTTGCCAAGTGGGGGGCCGCTCTCGCAGTTGCCTTCATCTCGGCGCAGATCTCGGCGTCGCAAGCCCCGTGCGAAACAAGTAACTCGTGCAAGCGAGCAGCCTCCGCCGTGGCCCGCAGCTCCGCGACCACGTCTTCCGGGCGAGGGTGGCGCAAATAATCAGGTCGCGGCCAGTTCCGCCCGCTCCGCATCTTCCCAATCACAGCGCCAGCGTCGAAAACACTGCAGTACTCATGTATCAATCCCGTGACCGACCCATGCGTTCGCGCGCCGCTAATGTAATAGGCGTGCGACTCTTCGACAAAGTGCAACTGGGAGTCCCGAGGGTGAGCGTTGAGTCGCTCGAGCAAGCGGATCTTCGGAAGTCGCGGCAGCTCGAGGGAGAAATCGCACGGGACTTGGGGCGCCTGAGTGCCGGGCCACCCCACCGGCGGCAACGGGCAGAACAGACGCGAAGCTCTGCGCCGCATTGCCTCCTCTCGGTTCGCTGATACCCGGGCAGCCTCCAGCGGCGCGAGCGAGCCCGACGACGACGCCAGCCCATAGGGGGTCGCTCGTTCGCGAGCCGCGCGCTGACGGATGAGTGCGTCCAGCCTATGAACTTCGATAATTCCAGAAGTCGCGCCCCATGGAAGAGGGCGGCCGCCCTCGGGCCCCGGCCTCCGCGCGCCGAGCTCCACCAACAAGAACCACTTGTGCTCCTCGACGTCCGGAATGTCGCCCCACGCCAACCACTCGCGAACCGCTGGCAGACCTGCTCGGCGGTCTATCACAGTGGCGCTGCCGGGACGCAGGATGACGGCCGCGAAGTGGCCCACGCTCGCGGCCAATCCAGCTTCGCGCCGCGGCGGCTCCCACTTGACGTAACGCCCTGGACCAGTCGGACCCCGCGGCTGCCGGATCAGGGCGAAGCCGAGATGTGACAGCCATTGGTTCCCATGCTCGAGCGCGCGGAATGGGCCTCGCACGCTGGTCGGCACGTGTGCTCCCAATGCGTTCAGAGCCAAGCTGAGGCACGCATGGGTGGCAGAAACGTGCTGGTCGTCGGCGGCCACGACACGAAATGCGACAGAAGGGTTACAGGACAGCAATGCTGATCCACAATCAGGGAAAAAGCGGAGAAATCAAAACAGGCCGGCAATGCCGAGCCACGTTTGCTAGAATCCTGAGCCGATGAAGCGAGCGGCAATCGACGAATCGCGACGGCGAGTGGAAGGTGGCCTCGATGTTCAGGTAATTACGAGAGAATATATTTGATATCGTATTCTATCTCGTGATATCATTATGTAACCCTATTCGCTTTACTCCTTGTCAACACTATCCCTCTCTGGATGTGATGCATTTATCACCCGGGGCGGCGCGAGCGCATCTCGGGGGAAAACTGCCGGCCGCGGTCTTCAGGATTTCCGCCCAGCTGTTAAATCGACGCCGAGTGCGCCCTCACCGCTGTAAGTTATGTGCAACAGCGCGCCCTCGACTTCCTCGACGCGGCGCACCCGCTGTGCCGTCGGCAGAACGTGCCTGCTGAAACCTCTCCACACGACAACCGAATCTGCCCCTGAAAGGACTGCCGCAGCGCAGCAATGCCTCCGCACATGACAGAAATACTTTCCGGGCACGAGTGGGCATGCACCCTGCCGCGAAGCCTGCTGGCGCGCGACGGCCAGAGAGAAGCCGAAGTGGTCGGCGACGTCGGCGTAGCGGCGCTCCGCGCCTCGACGAACGGGAAATCGCGCACAATAGTCGGTCGATCCGCAGAAGTCTTGCGTCAGGATGCTGTATGCAAGCAGTATGCAGTTTCCATCTTGCAGGAGAGCTCGACAGCCGCGCACGGCGGGCGGCGAGGGCTCTACCCAGACGCCGAGCTCTTCGGCCGCTGCCAATTCCGTCGCACCAATTGGCACTGCGTCAAGCAGTTGTGACATCTCCCTGCGCCAGGCCACAACTTTGGCCTCCCACTGCCGTTTGCTGACGTCAGGCAGGTAGGGGTCTGGTGTCGCGGGCCTCTCGTCATCTACCAGCTCGCCAGTGCTGCTCAACAGCTGGATTGACACATACTCGATGGACCGCTTGACCCCGGAAACACATCGGATTCGCCTTCCGCGCGGGTCGGCGTCTTCGACAACCGCGAGAGCATCGCACATGCCAGGTAGCGCGCGGCGAGGCGATGAGGTGCCAGGGCGGCAAGGCCGACCCACAGAGAAATACGGGTAAATGCAAAGCGAGGAGAGCACAGGGCGGCAAAGCCGACCCACGTACAAGATATGCCTTGAGCCGACGCGGCGAGTGGCGTCTCAGAAGGCGCGCAGATACCTCTGCAAAGATCGGGGTGCGAACGGAAGAGTACGCGACTGAACTGCCAATGAATAGCTGGCGCTGTGAAACTGAATGCGCCGATCCCCATCCGTTCCCGCAGTGGCTCTGTGTCCTGAGTGTCCCTGCGACCAGCGCTCGCTCATCCACGCGGGCTAACTAACAGACTAGTTGGGGGCCCTGGCTCACGCTGCGACCATAATATAGCTGTTTATCTTATATTTAAATCTATGCCCCAAACTTGATTCGGAGAGAATAACTTTTCATCTGGTCAAGCACATGGGAATCCACGCGAGCAATCGAGATACATTGAGGACTGACCTGTTTTCTGCCTCCCGCAGTCGCTGCTACTAACTGACAGCTCAGCCCGCTCGGCGGCGCCTCACGCCATCAAGCCCGAGAGCCCTGCCAAGGGGCTGGAGTCGTCGCCGCCTTCGGCGGCCCCCTGCGCCGCCGGGCACAAATCAATGCGAAACGTGACTGCTAGCCTCGAGTCTCGCCCCGCGAGGACGGCGTCATGGACATCTGACAAACCCACCTCTCCAGCATGATCTTTAAAATAAGCCGACACCTTGTCGAGCGCGGTCGCCACGTGCAGGAGTGCGCAAGACGGCGATCCGTCTCCATCCAAGTGGAGCAGATAATGCCCGTCCTCGCGCGCATCGAAACCTAAATGGGGCGCCACCGAAACCTTGTGACTCAGGCAACACTCCCCGTAAGTTCTCCCTTTCTCGACGCTGGCGGCATTGTTCTCTACTGACGAGGCGCCTGCGAGAGAGAGAACGGACGCGGACACCCTGGCGTCGCCGCACCGCCACAGCGCCAACAGGATACCATTGCCAGGCTTCTGCAAGTCGCCAGGCGCTGCGGCCGCCTCCAGGGGCCGCCGCGCCGTGCAGCTTATCAGCGCCTCTTCGACCGTCGGATGGGTCTTCTCTTTGATCTTTACGACGAAGCCTGTTTCCTGCGCGATGTAGGCACTGGCTCCAGCGGCGTAGTCCGCCACCGTGGTATGCCTGGCGAACACCGCGTCCCTGTTGATCCTCACGCCGTCGAAGTGCAGCGATAAATGCATCACCGGCTGCATGAGCACCCACGTCTGCCACTGGCGGAGAATGTAATCCTCTGCGCGCTGGTAGAAAGTGGAGAACGTCTGCCCCTCCGGCCATTTCTCTTTTTTCTTGTCGTCGCGAAGCTCGGCGTCACTGGAAAAGTCTTCGTATACATCGGGCAACGCAGAGCACGCCACCCAGCGCAGCACGCGGCTGACGCGCTGCAACTTTTTGGCGAAGGGCTCGGCGTCGACGTCGAAAGCGCCGGACCCGCCGATGGTCTCGAGCACGAAGCGCTTGGCCGCCTGGTGCCCCATGCTCGCCAACTCCTTCTGCATTACCTCGTCTCTGTCCTCGGCCAGCTGCTTCAACAATTCCAACTCCTCTCTGAACAGATTCTTCTCCGCCATGTCCATCTTCTCCACGAGTTGCCAGGCGATTGTCAGAACCGCGCTGTGGATGTCGAGATCTACAGTGCCCTGCAACATCGGATGTAGCACGCGGGCCGGGCAGCCCTGCGCTGCCGGGACATCCGCGAAGCGACGGGCCGCAGTGCGCTTGTATTTGTAAGGGATCCTGCGCTCCGCCAAGTCGCTGCCGCCGCTCACGGCCCTCTTCGGAGGGAGCCTCCTCTTCTTCACCCCACCTGGTTGATCGGCGGTGGTCACCGTCGGCCTCTCGCGCGCGCTCTCCAGCATCGCTTCCAGAGTTGCCTCCGCCGCCTGGACGGACATGCCGACCTCGCGCAGATGAGCGTCGCCGCCCGCCTCGACGGAACCTGCGCGGCTTTTCCGCCCGCGCGGCTTTGCCACGGACCCTAGCACCGCCACCATGGTCTCGGCGTTGCGCTTGCGGCAGGCGTGGCCGTTCGCATAGCGCAGCAGCGCCGCGCGGTCCCACTGTTCTGGGAGCACGGTCGGCTCCTCCAAGTCTGGCGTCGGCACGATGTCGATGAACTTGCGAGCGAAGGACAATTTCGGCAGGAGTCTCTCCTTCGCCTTGCCTTGCGACCCAGCTTTTGACCATCCGGCGGAGGCCATCGCTTGCCACGCTGTTGCTCTCTTTTCAGGCAAGCCTTGGATCTGCACTGTATGGAGCTGCTTGTAATACGAGAATGTCAGGGCGTCGAACCTCCGGTCGAGCATCTGCTGGAGTAGGTGGCGGCGCAAGGAATCCATGGGCGCCACCGCATCCTGCGAGCCGCCCGCTCCGATGTCGAAGTCGACGCCGGGCGGCGGGGCAGCCGCGCTGCTCTGGCCGCTAAGCTTCGGCTGGCTCGGTTCCGGGAGAAGACACGCCTGTCGCATGTATTTCTCCGTGATCCCGTTATCCCCTCCGCGCAGGCAGTAGTCATCTATCAACGACCTCGATGCCGCTTCGCCATGTTTCCGTTCGAAGCCCAGCTGTCGTTGCAGACCAGCGGCGATGGCGGGCCCCGACTGCATGAACGGCTTCAAATCCGGCGCCCGCGGGAAGATGCCGTACTTCTCTGCGTCCGGCAGGACGCGCCTGATGTACTCCGCATCAACGAACCGAGCCCAAACCTTGATCAGAAGAGACCTCCGGTAGATGGCGTGGAATGCACCCTCAGAGACTCCGTCGAAGGTGATGAGCTTGTTCAGCTCCATGCGTTTCCACCCGACCAAGTAAATAACTTTTGTCAAAATCTGATACGGGAGTCGACCAAATATGCCGTCGGCAGACGCCAGCTTCTTGAACAAGTCCTCCCGGAAGCTCTTCCTCAAGCCTTCTGGCTTCTCCTGCGCCGTGAGCACGATCGTGCCTTTGAGCGACTCCACCGTCTTCCGCATCTCCTCGTCCAGAACACCTGCGGGTCAAAATACTTGTGGTTGGAGTGCCCGAGCATGGCGTCGAGGTGGGCCGTCGTCAGGGAGAGCCCGACGCCGCCGGCCCCCCAGAAGAAGAACAGCTGGTCGACGTTCAACCCTCTCTTCGCCAGAGCGAGGGCGGCCATGCACACTTTGTGCGCGGCGGCATTTGCCCAGAATGTCTGCCTGTAGAACTGGTCCACTCTCGTCGCGGCCGCCTTCAACACTGGGTCGCCCAAGTAAGCTTTGATTTTGTGCGGTATGCCGATGTATATGCTCTTGCGTTCACTCTCCGTCGCGATCTGCTGGATCGGGGTTCCGCCCTGGTCGTAGACGAACGCGATGTCGGGGTGGGCGACGCCCCTGCGCGAGGGGCGCGGAGTCTCGCACCACTCGCAGTAAAACGACGGCAATTTGTTCTGAATCATCTGTATCTGTAAGCTTCGTCCAACTCGAGCAACGCTCACTGCGATCGTTATGTACCACGGCGCGCCGCGCGCGACGCCTTCGTCCGCCGGCGCAGGCGCAGGCACATCGCCATCCAGTTCGTGGGGCTCCATCTGCGTGAGAGCTTCGAGTTCAACTGCAGAGTCTCCCGCGCCTCCCATGCCGCCGCCCTGGCCCTTGCCACCGCCTTTGCCTCCTTTGTTGGAGATGGCGTTGTCGCGCCACGCGGCGAACGCCTTCCGAGCATCCGGCCCACTCTTCTCCAACGGCCCCTCGATGGCGAGCATCGCGGTCTCGTCGTCCCGCCGAACCTCGCCTGTGAAAGACCGGAAAAGCCCTTCCAAAGTCAAGAGGTACTCTTTCAGAGCAGCATAGACAATCTCTGGCATGAGACCCTCGTACTTCTCGAAGAACCTCGTATTCCCATTCCAAAAATACATGACCCCGTCATGGGCGACGAGGTAGTCACCGCCAAGTATGATGTGCATCATCATGACGTACTCTCGGACGTAGATATCGGATAGTCGACATCGATACATGGCCAGCGCTCCGAGGGCAATCCGCTTCAGGTACGGATCCCATGATGCGTGATGCTTCTCTATGAATGCCTTCACCGCCTCCGTCTGCACGAGTGTGCTCTGAGCAGGCGGGTCAGGGTCTGCCTCTAAACCTTCCAGCCAGCTCCGCTCGCTGTCTACGTCCATAAGGAATTCGTCGAATTCCGCATTGCATGTAGCAGCGCCTGGAAGCTTCAATCGTCGCTGCATGGAGCTGTTGTCGGCGACCGGATCGGCGGGCGCATCCTCGAGCTCGCTCTCGTGCGCGGCGACTCCTGGGGCTCGCGGAATCCAACTCTGCAAGCAAGACCAATGATCGACCACGTGCCCACCGTCACCGGACTGCTTGTGCAGCCGAAAAAGCGCTACCAACGGGCCGTCGCCGTAAACGCTCTGAACAGAGTTCTTCGTGTCCTCGTAGTGCTCGACAACGATCTGCCCGCCCAAGACCTCGCAGAAATAATTCATTTCGTCGAAGCCCGGGTAAGCTTCTCGCCCGGTCTTCAGCAGTCTGCTAGCAGTGGCTTCATCTCCTGCGTCGCGCGCCATCTGCGCGACGCGATCCCGGAGCTGCTTGGCGTTCGCCTCGTCCGCGCAAACTCTGCGCCGATCTTCTGCGTAACCAGACGCCCGTCTGCCGCGCATCCACGAATACAAATCTGCGGCAGCATTGCAACAGTGATGCAGACACAGCGTGTCGGCAGGTACCACCCCTACGGTATCGGCTGGAACGTGCGGCAGGGCAGCGGGGGGGTTCGTTGAAATGGTGATCACGCGCGTGCACATATCTTCGCCAGGATCTTCAGGCGGTCCGCCGCGCTGGATTGGCGAAGGCGGCACCGTCGCCTGCTGTGTGGTATCACCCAAATTAGCCGAATATTGGCTCATGGGCTGGGTGCCAGCAGCGCCCTGTTCGTCGGCAGACATGACAGCGAAATGCAACAGGGAGATCACAGGACAGCAATGCTGATCCACGATCAGGGAAAGAGCGGGGAAGTGAAAACAGGCCGGCAATGCCAAGCCACGTTTGCTAGAGTCCTGAGCCGGCGAAGCGAACGGCAATCGACAAATCGCAACGGCGAGACAAATTTGTTTTTGGAAGGGGCTGCGGCTTCCAGAGGGGCCCAGGAGGCTCCAGCATGCCAGGATGCCCCAGGAATCCCCGGGAACTCCGTGGATATCCTAAGAAGCCCCGAGTGGGTTCCAGAAGGCAGCGAGAGGCCCCAGTGGCCCTGGAAGGTCCCGGGAGGCCGATCAATGTTTGGGTTATTTGGGATACTCTGGTGGGTCTGCGATCAGCGGTCGGTTGCTTAGCAGGAACCTCGGGTCGGTCTCTGGATGCCCGTTGGAACCTTGAGGGGCAATCGGAAAGCCTGGCGGAGGTTCCCGCGGAACCTCGGAGGAGCTCAAGACGGCTACGGGATGCCTATCGGGCACACCTATCGCAAAGCAGCGTTTGCGATAGGTGCGCGCGGAGGTCTCTCAAGCCCTCTCCTGTTGTTTCTTAAGGACTATTCTGGGGCCGAAGACAGCCGCCGGAGAGGTCAAAAGGACGCTCTAGCAAGGCCTCAAGAGCTTTAGAACGCCACGGGATGCTCCCTGGCTCGTTTTGCAGCGCCCTCGTCAACCTCTTGGGAGCCATCGGGTAACCCAGAGAAGGCTCCAGCAGGACCCCGGGCTCAAGAAGGTCCCAAGGGCATCCCAAGACTGCCCCTCAGGAGCACTGCAGAACCCAAAAACTGACCAGATGAGGTCCATGACTGTGAAGCTCTTCCGTCGGAACCTCTCCAAAGGTTTCGAGAGAGCTTTAGGGGCTTCAAGAGGAACCCAAGAAGGCTCCAAGAGAACAACAAGAGGGTCCCACAGAGGCTTCAAGAGATCCCCAAGAACGCACCAAGAGGGCCCAAACTATTCCGGGAAAGCGCGGCGGTGCTTCCCCTGAATAATTTCAGGTTTCCTGAGGCTGAAGCACCTGGGGTCCCCTTGGAACGCTCTTTGGGTTCTCTTGGAGCCCTCTTGATGCCTCTTGAAACCTGCGGAAATTTTCCGAGAGCCCTCTCGGAATCTTCTTAAGGCCAGAGACAGCCCCAAGGGGGCTCCAAAAGAGCCTCAAGAAGGCCCGAGGAAAGCCCCAAGAGGGCTCCACGAGAGCCGAAACTATTCTGGGAAAGCGCGGCAATGCTTCCCCCGAATACTTCGGACTTCCTGGGATTCTATTGGAGCCCTCTTGGAGTCATCTTGTAGTTCCCTTGGGGCCTCTTGGGGCCTGCCAAAGTCCCGTGGGGAAACTCTTAGGGCCCTCTCAGGGCTCGAGAGGGCCCCCCTAGATAGCTCCAAGACGCTCAAGAAGGTTCCAAAGGGAGCCCAAGAGGAATTCGAGACCCTGATCGTCATCAGCATCAGCATCAGCATCATTATAACAGTTACCATCTTAATCATCATCATCAACATTATCATCGTCATCACGACTATCATCGTACGCATCATCATCAGCAACGTCAGTCTCAGCATCGTCATCACCCTCAGCATGAACATCATGCTCCTCATCTCTCCGCGCCCGTCTCATTCATCTCCTTTTCCCTCATGCTCCTCCTCCTCCTTCTCCTCCTCCGATTCCTCCTCATGCTTCTCCTCCTTCTACTATTTTTGATGCGCGCGGGCCGTGGCGCGGGCGGGGTCCGCGCCCTAGCATTGCCAGGGCTTCGTCGTCGGGGAGGCAGGGCCGGAACGCACGACAGAACTGCTAGTTCTGCATGACAACAAGGACCTATGTGGACGGCCATTGCTACGCGGTAAGCTGGATCTGCTCCACTGCCTGAAGAGCATCCGCGAGAGGCTGCGGGGTCCTGGGGCCGCGCGCGTGCAGCAGCTTGCGCAGCTGGCTCTTGACCAGCACGGCGGCCATTCGCTGCATGGTCTTGCAGCTCGTGCTGTAAGCGGCCGCGGCTGTGAGGGCACCTTCGATCATCTCACAATCTGCAACCTGGGCCGGGGTCAACCCTGCCCGCCGCATAGATCTCATCACGTCGGCCCACTCCTGGCTGACGACCTGCCAGAAATTCGGAGCTTCATCGGCGAAGCACTTGAAATACAAGTTAGCCTTCGCTGATGACGCGGATGACGTTATCAAGATGGCCTCGCCATCGACCGCGGCGACCTCAGGGTGGGTAGAGACTTTCCCAGCCAAGCACCCTCTATGGATGATGCAATCTTATGTATCTACGATGTTTCGCACCCCTATCGTACTATCCAGGGAAGCCCCACCAGGACGAGAAGGCATTCGAACGCCATATCGTTGATTAGAGTTTGGCGCCCCTGCCGCCCCTCCACGGAAGCCCCGCCAGAGCGAGCGGTACATTGGAAACGCATATTCACGCAGTAAGGCGCCCCCCCGCCACTCCAAAGAAGCCCCGCCACACCGCGGCTGGCGAGGGTCCCCCCCCCAGGCCCGCGACCGAGAAAATTCCTGATGGGGCCTCCCTGGAGGAGCAGGGGCAGCGCGAAACTTCGTAAATGCATGAAGATCGCATGGGCTACCCAGGCATCCAAAACGGCGGGTGAAAGTCCGCCATAATGAATCGCGAAATGACTTGGCTGGTCGAGGCTCCATTAACTTCCGACGACCCCGCTGTGCGCGCTGAGGTACCCCGTGTCCGGCACGGCGTGGGCGGACAAGAGCGGGCCGAGAAGCTCGGACACTCGGTCGGCGTGCAGCTGAATCCGCCCGGCGTTGTCCCTCTGCAGCTGCGGCCACCGCATGATATGGTGGGCGAGCCTGCACACCTACGCAGGGATGAAGAAAGCCAGTGCCGCGGCCAAGCCGCCGCAGGCCCGGCTGAAAACTATTTTCGGCGGTCGAAACCACCTGGCTTGGCCAGGGCTCCGCAGGAAGCCTCCACAGGGCGCTGAGGGGGCTCCAGGAGAGGCTCCGGAACGCATCAAGAGACCGCAGAGCGCGCCTGACGCAAAACAACCTTCGCGATCAGCGCGCGGGGGCTTGGCGCTGTCACCCGACTAGCTTTTGAATCGCCTTCTGAGCCTTGAGGAGGCCGCCAGAGACCCCGAGGAGGCAAGCGAACGCCCCAGGATGTCCCAGGGGCACACCTATCGCAAAACAGTGTTTGCGATAAGTGTGCGCGGGGGCCTGTTAAGACACCCCGGCTGCCTCATGAATGCCTTCTGGGAGTTCCAAAACAACCGCCGCGGAGCTCCGAGGAAAACTACGACAGGACCTCAGGGCAGCTCCGGAAAGCCATGGGATGCTGCCCGGGCGAACCTGTCGCAAAGCATCGCTTGCGATGAGAGCGCGCGGGGCCAGGCCCCCGCCAATTCGTTTTTGAATGCCCGTCTGACCCCAGAATAACCTCCAGACAATTCCGTGGAGGCCCCAGCAGGACCTCGGGAGAGCCCGAGAAAGCCGCGGGACGCCACCTGTGCACACCTATCGCAGAGCAGCGTTTGCGATAAGTGCGTGCGAGAGCCTAAGGGCGCCCCCCGGCCGGCTTCTGAATGCTTTCTTAAGATCCCAAGAGCCGCCAGGGAGCCCCGAGGAGGTCTCTGACCGAAGCTGGACGGCATCGCGCGATTGCTGTCCCCGACACCGTTTTCCCCACAGTGAACGTGGAGAGGTCGTGCGTGAGCGAACGAGTTTTCGGAACCCCCTGGGTCGTGGCACCGGCCGTCACCAAGCTCTTGTTGTTGGGAACTGCTAACAGAAGGGCTTCTATGATGCTCCCGCACGTGATCAGATTCTGCGCGAACATCCCAGACGCGTACCTGACGAAAGGGACGTGGCGGGAGAACATCTGAATCATTATCAGAAGCACAATGCCTGCCATCTCCGCGTCCTGAAACCCACGGTTCACGATCTGGGCGCCCGCCGTCTGCAAGGCGGTGAAAAACGGGTCCGCGGGCATCGCCACGGTCGTGGTGGCCAGCGACTGCTTGAGCACCGGGTGCGATTGCAGGTTCCGCACCAGCAGCTGCGCACTTGGCTGCTTGACGTCTGTGTGCGGCAACAGCTTGAAGTGGTTCACATGGGCAGGCACGGCGTACAAGGTCTCCAACCGGTGCCTGTAGACCAGCTGGGCCGCGAGTTGCTGCGGTCCGACCTGCGGCTCGTCCGCGAACCGCGCAGCCAGGAAAGCACGCGCATCGTCAGCGGAGCTCTCGATGGCCAGCTGGAGGTGGCCATACCGAGTCCTTAAGAAAAACAAAAACAAACCAACAATTGGGGGCGGCTTATGTCTATAGTTCGGTTTCTGGTAAACCATAGCAACAGAACCCAACATCACGCCACCAACATATCTCTGGTTTGCGTGGAGTTTTGATTCCATGCGTTCCTGTCCACCTGGTTGAGCTGTCTCGGGACGGGGCCTTGCTTGACGACGCCGACCTTGCGTTTCAAGGTGAGCGAACGCTCGGCCCACGTCAACTTTGCCACCATGGTCGCGACGGGCGCCAGGCGGGTGGAACAGAGACAACCGGAAGGTGCACCAAGCGGCACGCGTGCCAAGTGGACACGCACCAAGTGGAATGCGGCTTGAGACAAAATATGGAGAGTGTGAAAATAAAGGTGGGTCCCTATGGGATGCCTTTCAGCTTGCCGAAGGGCCCGTGGGCGCTACAAGGCTGGTGATCACCGC